CCCGCCAGATGCCAGAAGTGGGTGGAGAATTGTAGGAGAGCAGACTTAGAAGATAAAACACCTGATCAGCTGAATAAACATTATCGACTGTGTTACCAAACACTTTGAGACCTCTATGATCTGTAGAACTAGTCCTTATAGGACTGTTCTTCGAGAAAATGCAATACCAACAATATTTGCTCTTACCAGTCACTTGAACAATCTGCATAGTAGACACAGAAAACGAATAAAGAATTGAGTGAAGATGAAATAAGGACAATGAAACAGAAAAAAATTGATGAAATCTGAACAGGAACAGAAACATAAGGAAACAAACAATAGCAATGCTCAGAATCCCAGTGCAGAAGTGGTAGGTGATGAGCCAGATGAAGACATTTTACCTTTAACCTTTGAAGAGAAGGAAAACAACGAATACTTAAAGTCTCTATTTGAAATTTTGATTCTTATGGGAAAACAAACATACCTTTGGATGGGCATGAGACTGATGAAATTCCAGAAGGTCTTTTTACACCTGATAACTTTCAAGCATTGCTCTTGGATAAATTCTGGTGAAGAGGTCCTGAGAAAGCATTTTGAGGCCACAGCTGTTCCATTCAAAAACACAGCAGAAGCAGATGCTAGAGATCTATGAGAGCTGTATTCGTGAAGAAACCCTCAGGGAAGTGAGAGACTCACACTTCTCTTCCATCATCACTGACTATGTGGTGGACATAGCAGGGGAAGAGCACTTACCTGTCTTAGTGAGGGTTGTCGAAGAATCTCATAACCTAAGAGTTTGTGGGCTTCCTCCCTTATGAAGCTGCTGCAGAAATTTTGGCTGTAAAATTTCACACTACAATAACTGAGAAGTGGGGACTCAATATGGAGTATTGTCATGGCCAGGCTTATATTGTGTCCAGTGGATTTTCTTTTCAAATGAAAGTTGTTGCTTCTAGACTTTTAGAGAAATATCCCCAAGCTATCTACACACTCTGCTCTCACTGTGCCTTAAACATGTGGTTGGCAAAATCAGCGTCTGTGGTAGAGGTATCAGTTGCATTAGGAACAATTGAAGAAGTCTGTTTTTTCCATCATTCACCACAACTACTTTTAGAACTTGACAATGTAATTTCTGTTCTTTTTCAGAACAGTGAAGAAAGGGGTAAAGAACTGAAGGAAATATGTCATTCTCAATGGACGATGCTTTTGAAGTTTTAGTGGATCTCCTACAAGCACTTGTTTTGTGTTTAGATGGTATAAATAGTGACACAAATATTAGATGGAATAACTGTATAGCTGGCCGAGCATTTATACTCTGTAGTGCAGTGACAGATTTTGATTTTATTGTTATTATTGTTGTTCTTAAAAATGTCTTATCTTTTACAAGGGTCTTTGGGAAAAATCTCCAGGGACAAACTTCTGATGTCTTTTTTGTAGCCAGCAGCTTGACTGCAGTGCTTCACTCACTCAATGAAGTGATGGAAAATATTGAAGTTTATCATGAGATTTGGTTTTGAAGAAGCTACACATTTGGCAACCAAGCTTGATATTCAAATGAAACTCCCTGGGAAATTTTGTAGGGCTCAGCAAGGTAACCTGGAATCTCAGTTAACCTCTGAGAGTTACTATAAAGAAATCTTAAGTGTCCCAACAATAGAGCACATTATTCAGGAACTTAAAGATATATTCTCAGAACAGCATCTCAAAGCTCTTAAATGCTTATCTTTGGTACCCTCAGTCATGGGGCAGCTCAAATTCAACACATCAGAGGAACATCATGCTGACATGTACAGAAGTGACTTACCCAATCCTGACATGCTCTCAGCTGAGCTTCATTGCTGGAGAATCAAATGGAAACACAGAGGGAAAGACATAGAGCTTCCATCTACTATTTATGAAGCCCTCCACTTGCCTGACATCAAGTTTTTTTCTAATGTGTATGCCTTGCTGAAAGTCATGTGTATTCTTCCTGTGATGAAAGTTGAGAACGAACGCTATGAAAATGGACGAAAGCATCCCAAAGCATATTTGAGGAATACTTTGACAGACCTAAGGTCCAGTAACTTGGCTTTGCTTAACATAAATTTTGATATAAAACATGATCTGGATTTAATGGTGGATACATATATCAAACTATATACAACTAAATCAGAGCTTCCTACAGTTAATTCAGAAACTGTTGAAAACACCTGAGAGACTTTTAAAATAGGCTTTCTCATGTATTTGCTATTTGTAAGAAAAACCATGAGGAGTGTGTAGGCTGCCTAATCACTGAACATGGTAGACCATATGCCTGTCATTTAATATATTAGCCATTTGATAATCCATGTTTAAGTGGCTGCTCTCATGCTTCTGAGATCTGTTTTCCAGAAGACAGCATTGGGAGTGCCACACTTCACTTGGCATGACCCCTGCTGGTGGCACTCTGAAATCGTTTTAAGTCATTTTAGACAGCACACTTACTGCCACTGTGGATCCCTGGTCAGATATTGAATTGTCAGTTTTTGAAAAAATGAATTTTGAGATGGTGTGGGAGAAGTGCACTTTATAAAACGTTATGGTGAACCCCATAATTGACCTGTGATTAGTAGTTTTAAGTGTGTTATTAAAAATCTGTAAAGGACAGCTAAGGGAATTACTAGAGAAAAGTTTGTGAGCTCACCAGATTTCAGTGTAGATTTTGTTTTTATGAAATGAACCTAAAAGAAGAGGGTACAGTTTGAATGGAAAAGCTTACCACTGTACTCCACATCTGGTTGTTGTTGTTTACATTCCTTTGCCGAGCCTACATCTTCTTAAGCTTCTTAGCAGGTAAATGTCAAACACTTCTGCTTCATGGTCCATATGGAATCAGAGGCCATCATACAGGCAACTGAATTGTCTGTTTTCTTCTGTCTTTTTCCATGACTCTCATCTACTGCCTCATCTTGATTTATAAACAAAATCTGGAAAACCTACAAAATGAATGTTTTGTGGTTTATCTAGAAATAATACAGAAAATATTGCTGTTATTTTTGGTGAAGAAAATTTTGTATAGTTTATTTCAATCTAAATAAAATGTGAATTTTGTTTAAAATAAAAAGGAAAGTGAGAACTTGAGGATTAGACAATGAAGAGAGGGCAAGAAAAGCTAGGAAACATGACAAGGGCAAAGCCATACGTTTATGTGCACAAGACAGGTAAGGCAACGATCATGAGAATCTTCAGCAGGGTTTTGAAACTGGCAGTTAAATGGTAGGATTCTCACCCTCACTAACCATATATGCTGATACCTGTGGACTAAGCAACTGTGCTAAAGACAGCAATGTGTAATAGTATGGTCAAGCTTGGAATGCCTGTCATTCTGGTCTCATAAATATATACTACTTGTCATGTTATACCAATTAGTGCTACCCAATCTCTCAAGTAAATGTCTGTTTTTAAAAAAGGGTAATAAATGAAAACAAAAGACAAGGAAAAAAATGTCATAGGACTGTCCTGTTTACAATGCTATATACGGTTAGATTTCTAAATTTCTGCATAAGAATATGTAATTGTTTATTTCAATTTTTTGAAATATTTTTTCTTCACATTCTGTAGGGATTTAAAGTTTAACATATCAATACTTGATGAACAATATCTTTTCCATGTTACATCTAAGATGTTTGATATTCTGATATATAGTGACATTACTATGTTATAGGGTAATAATATCATCAGGTTTCTCTTTTGGGAAGTTAAAAACTTAAGTCTGCAGACCAAAAATTAGAGAAAATGAAGGAGTACAAGAAGAGCCAACATTTGGCCCTAACCTTTCAAGGTCAATGAGGACTCAGGACATAAGAGAACCTGTACTGTAACATCATGTAACTCAACAGTGTTGCAACATTCTGATCAAGGAGATTATGTGGCCATAGAGGAATGTGATCAATGATGTAGAGTGTTCCTAAGGAGAGTCACATGGAGAAATAACATTCTCTTAGGCTTTCACAGAGAGCACATTGGCCAAGCAATGGCCGTGACTCATCCACACGGCTGACACTGACAAAGGATCTGCACAATGCAGTTCAGAGGTTCGGTGTAAATCCTGAGGGGATTTGACTAACCTTGTCAGATACAAAAGTTACATTTCTTGCTATATAGGACTTGCTTTATCTTGGTCTTAACCATCTAGTAGAGAACTATAAAGCAAGGTACAAAAAGTAAAACCATATGAATATGCCGAGCTATAAAAGACTGAAGTCAACAACTTCTGACATTGCCAGTGCTACAGATAACCCATTATTCCTATGGACTACTGGAGTATATTGAATAATTTTGCTGAATTCACACACTTACAGTATTTAAATGGCAATGAAATACCCATCTCTGACAAAGCTAAACAAAAAAAGGGGAGACAAATGACAGAAATTTTTGTATCTGTATGTACAAAATAGGACACATATACAGCTTCTTTCTCTTAATTCAACATGAAGAAAGATTTGTACTAATAGTGTTTGGGTAGGATGTCATGTCTGCATCTTTTACTATGAATAACTACTATGAAGACAATGATATGCAATTTATTTTTTATATTTTAATCATTTATTGAGAAAGAAGTATCAATGAGATAGTTTCAAAACAAGTTAGTAGTAGTCACAATATTTAATATATTGCATATTGTTGTCTTTATAGTAGTTGTTCCTAGTACAAGATGCAGACATGATATCTTGTCTAAACACTATTAGTTCAAAACCTTCTTCTCATTGAACTAAGAGAAAGTAGCTGTATATTTTTCCTATTTTGTGTATGCAGATATTTATTTTTCCACTACAGAATGATATCTAATGTATTAATTATTGAAACTGTCATACTAATTGGTTTTGAAACTGTCTTATTATTTGTTTCTCAAAAAATTAATAAAAAAGAATTAATTCTGAGTGAAAAGTAAGCCAATCTCAAAATGGTAGGTTTATTATTTCATTTTACAGTGTTCTAAGAACAACAAATTAGTGTGTGGCAAAGTGATTGGTAACTACGGTGATTTTGGAAGGAGAATGGGAAAAAATTTAGCCAAATTTAGCCTTGTGATTGAAAGGTTCTATATTTTGGTTGTGGTAATGATTACTTGCATCTATCCATGTGGCAAAATTGCATAAAACTGTATACATATGCACAAGATCATGTCAAATTTGTGTCATTTTCAGGAACTCTGAGCATTGTACCAATGAAAACATCCTACATTTTATATTGTACTATAAATATAAAAAAATATTAACTTTGGGTTAAACAGAAAAATGCACATGGACTTTTTGTATTTTTTTGTATTTTTATATATTTTTGCAGTTTCCTGTGAATCTATAATTACTTAATAATAATGGAGACATATCTGAAATTGAATGATAGTTATCTTAGCCTATTTTCTGTTACTGTAACTACCACAGAATGAATGTTATGGCCTATATCTAGAAGGTTTATATATAGAGGTCCCTCTAATACCTTGTATGCTCATAGGTGGGGCTCTGGAAAGGTGATTGGATAATGTGGTTGTGATACTCATTAGTGGACTATGTGTAACTAAACATGATGTTTGGAAGTGGAGCGTGGTTAAGGAAGTAGGTTCCTGGGGAGTAGCCTGGAAGGGTTTATTTTCCTCCTTCATTCTTCCTTTCACTCTCTGAGCTTCCCCTCCACTACACTGTAAGCAGCTCTCTTCTGCCATGGTCCTGCCTTGCCATCCTGCTTTGGAACCAGCCAATGATGTACTGAAACCTCTACCAACTGTGGGCAAACTTTGTTGTATTTGCCACCACTTGATGTAACATAAGAAAAAATACTTTTGCTGGACAACCTTTTGTTTTATCATAAGTAAAATGGAATAATAGCTATACTATCACTTTAAATTATTTTAATGATTATATGAGATGACATAAGTAAAGAACATATAAGCTCTCAATAAATATTAGCCATTATTTTAACTTCTAAGGGTATTATTTAACCCCAACAAGACCACAATTAAGGACTGGCCAAATAGCTCAGCAGATTAAAGTGCCTGCAAGCAGGTGCAGGGGCCAGGGGTTCACAGCTTCATATGCTGTGCTGGCCCACCCCCAGGCACACTAAGACAGCAATTGAGTCTGGGCATGGTGGTGCATGCCTGTTATCCCAGCTCTTGGGAGACTGTAAACAGTGGATCACTAGGAGTCCAATCTAGTAGTGAGACTCTGAACACTCTGTAGACCCTCCCCTGAAAATACAAAAAAAGAAAAAAGACCACAGTTAGCCATATTTAGTTTCAATTACATTTGCTACATAGTACAATCTGTGCATGAAGTCATGGGCTTCTGGGTTTTAGATATCATGGTATAATGACAATAGGAAACATGTCTTTACTGTAGAGTGTCTGAAGTAAGCTGAGCCCAAGGTGGTGGGAGCAAAGGATAGGACCCTCTACCCTGGCTGACTACAGGGGAAAGAGAAACTATAGTGAGCAATGCTGTGTAAAGATCAAAGGTTTTGAGATAATCAATCTTCATATTTTAAAGAGGATTTCACAGAATCACTTGAGATGCTCTGTTCAAATGATTTAAATCTAAAGATAGGAAGCAGTAGCATGCACAAGATCCTTCTTTCTAATGATGTGGGATGTGAGTCAAAGTAAATGTCTCCTCCTTTAAATTGTATCTGGTGTTGTTTTTTAGGCAACAAGAAAGTTACCAAGACAGATTTTGTTACTAGGGAAGAGGGGTGCTTTCTGTGATACTGCCTTAGGATATGATTCAGAGGACTTTAAAACTGGTTCACAGGAACACTTCTGCAAAGTTTGGAGATGCCAGCTAGAGAAGCCCTAGAATTCTGTAAATGAAGCTTCAGGGAGAAGTTCTGACCAGATCTCAGAAGGCCAAAATGCTGATAGAATGACAGGTGAGAAAGGCTCAGGAAGTACCTGTTGAGAAGGAATCCATCAGCAGTTGGACTTCAGACCACATGTGTTACAATGTCGCAGAAAATTGTCTATATTTTTTGAGACTGATGAAAACTAAAATTAATGGCAACCCTCATGGAGCATTCCTTTTGCCTATTATTACTTGTGTCCAGGTTTTCCCCCAAGTTTAAAGAGGGGAGGCATGTATGCATAGATGGCATTTTGAAAAGTGACTTAATCATAGTGTGTGATACTGCATCATGTGTTTGGTAATAGATTAGTCCACTGATTCGTTTAGCATGGTCCTGGGTGTAACTGAATACATTTGCTGAAGATGGAGGATCCACCCTAGGTGTGAGTGGCACCACCCAGGCCTATAGGCTAAATGGAATAAAAAGGGAAAGCAAAAGGAAGGCTGCTGCTTCCTGCCTGCCTTGTCATGGACTGTTGTTTCTCCTCTTCCATGCCTTGGAGCCAGTTGATTAGGAATGAAACCCTCCATAAAATGTGAACTAAAATAAACTGTTCCTCTTTAAACTTGTGAATGCCAGGTATTTTGTCCCAGCAGTGACAAGGTAACAAAGACTATATCCTTTTTCCACCTTCAATACTCAACTATACACAGATCTGAAGCCTACAGTATCACCTCATCTTATAGTGGATTTTTAGTTACTTTGATTTCAGAAT